GCTCTGATTTGTTATTACAACTGTGGCTTCTACCAAAGGGAAGATGTTCAAGGGAGGGCTGGGGGCATGGATCTGCATGGAGAAAAGAAGGTCGTTAGCCTCAAAGTCCTCCTGCTCAGGGCTCTGTCTTTAACTAGGTCTGTCTCCTCCTACCTCCCAGCTACCTGGGTGTCTTAGAAAGTGTCCTCCTCTTGCTGAGTCCCAGCTTACTCTGATATCAAAAGGCAATAAATAGCCTCCATCTGCTCAGCTGTTGCATTGATTAATGAGATAATATATATCCCTTGTCCTAACCCAAAAGAAAGAGGAGACACTTGTGAATTTATTTCCCTCTACCCAAGGACACAGGAAACTTGAAAAAGGCCTAGCCTTTTCCTGTCACTTGGCCTCTGGTTATTGTCCTGGGTGTAATGGAGTGGAAAACTCTCTACACGCTTCCCTCTGACAGTGAATTTCTAATCTCAGAAAACTTAATGGTTTTTGTCAACCTGATTGTCCAGCGAGAGCGGATTAGGAGAATGACTTCCCCTGTCACAGGAAAGTTGACTTGCTTCGCGGCATTTTTTTTCCCCCTGGTACCAGTGGGAGGCATGATCGATACAACACAGCCCTAAATACTTACCTGTGGTTTCAGAGCTGAGGACAAAGGTTGGGAGTTCTATTTAAGTGCCTTCAGCCATTTCCAAGAGGACCCAGGCGTGAGGTGCATTAAGTGGTTCAGCCCAGTGACCCAGAGCTCCGTAGTCGGAGGGACAAAACAGAAATCAAGTTGCTCCTGAGCAGTGAAGCAGAGGCCTCTGGGCTCCAGCTGGATTTGTCTTCTTTGCTCCAGTTTACCCCGTCTGCAGATGGAAGGCCCATTAGTTACTGTCTGCGCTGCCAGGGTGGGATGGCTTTCTAGTCTCTGTATCAGGATTTAGCCCACACAATGCACTGCAGTGGCAATGGACAGGGACTACTAATGCAAACTAAGTCTCCTAAATTCCTGTGCGCCAGCAGCTCCAAGCCTAGAGGCCACGAGTCTCCTGGCAGCTCTTAGACAAGGCTTTGTGCCATGGATCTTTAGCAGAGAACAGTCACCCAAATTCAGTCGGTCACCTGGGGCACTCCTGCCAAAGGCAGAGTAGCAGTCCTGGACAACAAAAGAAAGCCCCGTTTTATTGTCATTTCCTTGAGAGATTCATTCCTGACCTTTTAGACTAGGACAGGTCCCTAGTAATTTTCCTTCATGGTATCTACTCTCATTAGAAATGAGCAAACATCTACATCCAGTAAAATACAAACTCCAAAGAAGCAAAGATGTTTTGCCTGCTGTTTATTGCCAATCCACAACCTAAAAACATTTTGAACACATAGTAGGTTCTCAAGAAATAGTTGTTGGCTATGTTAATTAATAGACGTATAGATCATCATTTGTTTGTGACCTGTCTCACCTATTTGAGTAGAACTCTCAAGAAAGAGAGAATGGTATTTTATTACCCTGCACTATTAGCAAGAAGAATAATGGCTGGTGCCTAGTAGATGCTCCATAAACACTGAAGGAATAACAATGTGATTACTGTGTGTGTGTGTGGTGTGTGTGTGAGAGGGTGGGTGTGCGCGCTTTTTTGTACTCCAGGTCTTGGACTTCCCATTAGCTTTTTCATTCACGGGGCACTCTATAGATTGAGCCATGCCTCTAGTACTGGATTTTGCTGGTTAATTCTTGGATTTGTCTGTTCAGGCTGCCTTCAATCCCAGATCCTCAGATCTCAGTCTCATGAGTAGCTAGTATTATAGGCATGAGCCCAGTGTGCTTACACTTTTTATGCAGAATTAATCTAAAATTAATAAGATAGACTTGAATTATTGAAATAATAAAACCAGCATACAGAGAAAAAGTGAGTAAAGTAAAAGACACATCTTCCATTAATCTCACCACTTTTTTTACAGCTCCTGTAGTGTTATTATTTGGGTAGTTTTCACATCAGTATTTTACATTTAGTTATAATTAGGTTATTTTAAGTGTATGAATTCATGCACACACATGTCAACAACCATCCAGGTATCAGGGAATTGTATGGATTTAAGAGCAGGAAGAGAGGCTGGATGAATAATGTCTTCTCATTGTTATAATTAATTGTTGGCCCTACAAAGGAAATGATAGCATCAGAGAACCGCTAGTGAGAGGCATTGCTCTCCAAAGGTTGGTCCCTGGGGTCAAGGCAAATGTGGCTATGGAAAAAATGTGCAGGTTACAAAATAATCCACAGGAAAATGCTTTATTTTTTTATGCTCACAAATCAGCGAAACTTGTCATAGCTTCTGCTAAACATAAACTGGTTATATCCACTGTGAAAGACTTGGTGGCTTAAGACTCATTTCTCACCCATTTATTGGGATCATTATGTGGAAATCACCCAGTTTCTATCTACAAGTCCCTAAGAAAACTGCCAACAGGTGACTTGTGATTATGGAGGTGAATAAGCCAGTATATAATTTAAAAAAAATCAAGCTGGGTGTTGGTGCTCACACCTGTAATCCTAGCTACTCAGGAGGCTGAGATCTGAGGATCACAGTTCAAAGCCAGCCCACGCAGGAAAGTCTGTGAGATTCTTATCTCTAATAAAGCACTCAGAAAACTGGAAGTGGTGCTGTGGCTCAAGTGGTAGAGCGTTGGCCTTGAGCTGAAGAGCTCAGGGACAGCGCCCAGGCCCAAATTTCAAGCCCCACAACTGATAAACAAAACAAAAAAAACACAATCAAATCAAAACCCTGTTCTTCTACACTCAAAATATGTTCCCAGTAAGAGGCAGCCTATAATAGTAGAGAGATTCTTAGCATGTAATGAGGAAAAGTTATACAAATTTCTTGTCATGCAAATAAGTTAGACAGGAAGCTGAGTACACAAATGTCTCATATATTGATAAGAGACCACTTTGGAGGCTGGCTAGAGACACTGTATTATATACAAGAACAGAGATTTACCTTGTCTTGATCTTTTGGCTTTTATCCTATTTCTGGCCTGGAATAGAAACTAGGAGTGAGAGGTGAGGATGGAGGGATGGTTTGAGATGAATAAAAACAACCTTCTTGCAGGTGATGAACTACTGGGTAGGCAGGAGATCTGGGCTTTTTGTTCTAAACACCCATGTGACTTCTGACAATGACCTCACACCACCTCCACAGACTTGCTGTGAGGACTAAATACAATTCTGGCTGTAAAAGCACTTCAAGAAGCATATAAGCAAATGTTTTAAAATGAGAAGTAAGGTGCCAATATTGCGAGAGGAAGCCGTGTTATTGCAAAGCTCTCATGGGGATTTTCAACACTCAAGCTCCAGCAGCGTTACAGGAGAATCTAATAAGTGGAGAGCTCTGGGCTCCTGTCTACTGGAGACACCGAGAGATGAAGAGAGAGTGTTTTCTCAGCCACACAAAGGAATGCTCCCACTCAAAGGTCCCGGTGAGAGTTTAATGGGAAAGAGCATCTCCATGTGCTTCTACCGCTTTATAATTCCTTTCTATCACATTTGTAAATCTGTAAAGCTAAGATGGTCAAAGAAGCTAGTCATGCAAAAATTCTAAGAGAGGTAGAGTCCCAAGGCTACAAATGCATTTTACTTTTTCTAGTTATTTACAGTTGAGGCTGGTTGGTCTCTGGTTTTTTTTTTTGGCGGGGGGGGGGGGGGGGGGGCGGCCATGGGGCCTGAACTCTGGGCCTGGGCGCTGTCCCTCAGCTCTTCAGCTTAAGGCTAGCGCTCTACCACTTGAGCCACAGCACCACTTCCGGTTTTTTTCTTTTTGCTTATGTGGTGCTGAGGAATCGAACCCAGGGCCTCATGCATGCAAGGCAAGCGCTCTACCACTGAGCCACCTTCCCATTCCCGGTCTCTGATTTTTTTAATAATGTTTTTTCTTTAATAAATTGTTTCTTTTTTTTTTTTCTTTCTCGCTTCTTTTCTTATTTTCTCTTTCTGTTTTCTTTCTGGTAGTGGAAACTGAACTCAGGGCCTCAGGCTCTTCACTCTACTACTTGAGCTACACCTCCACTTCCTTTCGTTAGTTAATTGGAGATAAAACTTTCAAAGACTCTCTTGCCTAGGCTGACTTTGAACTGGGATCCTCAGATCTCAGCCTCCTGAGTAGCTAGGATTATAAGTGTGAGCCACGGATACCCAGCTCAAGTTCCATTTCCTTTCTTATATAATTTTATTGTTATAGTAAGGTGTTGTACAGAGGGATTATCATTTCATAAGTCAGGCAATGAGTACATTTCTTTTTGAACAATATCACCCTTCCTTCATCAAGTTCCATCTTTAATCACCTTTTTGAATTGACTTATCAAGTACATTTGAATATTTACCTGAAAGTCCAACAAGGAAATAATTGGCTTCTCTCGGGTGGGCCTCTAGCCTCAAATCATCAGGTACTGCAAAGACCTCATGAAGAAACCAAAGGGAATTGCAAGCGAAAAAAATGCCATTTAAATTCAGAAAAGGAACAATTATCTTTTATATCAGGAGTTATAATTTCTTAACAAATTTGTTTGCCCTTCTTCCTGGGTGACATTTCCTAGGTTCTCTTGCAGTAGTCATGCCTACTGGCTCACTCCCAGCCAATGGGATGCGATCAAGAAACTATGCATCACTTTCAACTCTGGCCTATAGTGGTCTCCCATCCTATGTCCTTCCTGCTCCTTTCCTTGTCACGCTGGGATGGAGAGAACTCCCATGCTGAAGATGGCAGAGTCTCATCAGCCTGGATCTCTGAGCCAGAGAAAACCTACACGGCCAACAGTTTACCAGATCCCTACCATTGTGGGAACAATTATGTCAAGTCTATAGGTTTTGGTGTTTTCGTTGTTATCATAATTCACCTAATGCATATAGAAACAAGTGGGTTTTCAAACTTTATACCTTAAGGAAGGCAGAAATGAAGAGTAGCAATAGACATTTAACAGCAATAACTATGTTTGCTATTTGCTATAGACAATGACAACAACAAAACTTCAACAGATTTGGGGTTCCATTAGGGTGGATCCAGAGGCTCACTTATCCTGGTAGGATCAGTATCACCCTTTTTTCTCTGCCTTGTCTTGCTTCTTCCATGACAAGATAAATTGCTAGATAGCTAGATTGTGTGTGTGTGTGTGTGTGTGTGTGTGTGTGTGTGTGTGTGTGTGTGTGTGCTGGTACTGAGGCTTAAACTCAGGGCCTGGCACACTATCCATAACTTTTTTTGCTCAAGGCTGGCACTCTATCATGTAAATCATAGCTCCTTCCAGATTCCTCTAAAATGGTGATAATCCATTGAATTTCTTCAATGGCAGGTAAAAACATAAATGCAGAATGTAAGAATATAAGACATCAGGAAAAAACTTTATTCTATGCACATCTGGCCATTGCTCTGCCAATCTAGACCTGCCAGAGTATCCCATTCAAACATCTGTAGCCAAAGCCTAGCCAGACCAAGCTGATATTTCTGTCTACAACTCTTGTTTTGTTTGTTTGTTTGTTTGTTTGGTTTTTTTGTTTTTGGGACCGGTCATGGGGCCTGAACTCTGGGCCTGGTCGCTGTCCCTCAGCTCTTCAGCTCAAGGCTAGCGCTCTATCTCTTGAGCCACAGCGCCACTTCTGGCTTTTTTTTCTTTTTGCTTATGCGGTGCTGAGGAATCGAACCCAGGGCCTCCTGCATGCAAGGCAAGCGCTCAACCACTGAGCCACCTTCCCAGCCCTACAACTCTTGTTTTTGATGCCTCTCTATGCATACTAACTTTCTGCCATCTGAATTCTATGGTCTTCCATTCCTTGTACAGCATTCTGCTTGCTCTGTCAGCTTGATCTCCTTAGTCATTGTCATCTCTCTAAATTGCACTTAGTTTTTGCTCAAAGTCCTTTGTCAGATGTGATCAGGCGTGTTCAGGGTGATATGGCCGAAGACTCAAAGTCCTTTGAATTTAACTACCAATTTCTCAAAAGAGGCGGTTCTATCTGCTCTTCTGGTGTTTCTGGTTGCTACTTTCTCCTTACCTCTTTTTCTCTGTCTCACTGGCTCATAAAACCAGCCCTGCTCTGCTCTGGTCCTGGAAGCTTCTAGGCTATAAGGGCTGGGGGTTCAGCATCTTCAAGTTGTTCCTTGGACTCCCTTGAGCTTTGACATTGAGACTGTCTCTGGCGGTGTGGCATGTGAAGACTGATGCTGTTTATATGTGTATCAGTCAAAATCACTTGAATGCAGATGTGTCTATAGCTAACCAGGGTACAGGCCTGAAGATAGATTATGGACAGAAAACATCTTGAGCAGGCTGGAAGCAGGCAGAAGTAGTGTGTGTTCCCCAGAGGCCCGTGGAAGGAAGTATGGTCTATTTCTAATGGCACCTACTTTGGGCATAGTCCTTTTTTAAAAGCTTTCAGATCTCAGGGAAAAGGAAGAGATTTGTTGCTTATTTGGAAATAATAAAAAAAAACCCACCTATGAAGATAATGATAATAGCTGGTACTTATTGAGCCCTTTTCATGTCCTAGCATTGTTAGGAGCCTTTTATGTACCATACTGCAGTGAGTCCTTACAACACTGCCATGAAATGGGTGTTATAGTCCTTGCCTATTATAGGTAACAGAATAGACCCATGGAGAGGTGAAATAATGTGCTCACAGTTACATAACCAATAAACAATAGCACTAGGGTTCCAGCACAGTGAATTTGATACTAGAAGTTGTGCTTATGACCTCCCCATTGCAGGACTTGGTTTCAGGAGCAGAGGCTCAGGTGTTTATAGCATTCAGACATTGCTGGGAGACAGTGCCAGGTGGAATATGCCAAGCCAAAGCTAAAGCATCAACAGGAGTTGGCAACAGGTTGGCAGACTGGTCCTAAGCTAGAGATTAGGCTCAGCCAGCATCATAAATGGGGAGAAAGTCAGACCAGGAACAGAAGGGCTCTAGAATCAGATTTCCAGGGTCAATTGGGTGCAGAAGGCCTGAGGCTGGAGAGGGCAGGGTCAGAAAGAAAGGTTATGTTCTAGGAAGTGATGGACTGGCTTTTAAAGGAAGGTGTTCTGTTCCTCAAGTGTGTATCTTGGCTCACAATTGTACTTACTCTAGAATCTGGACCTCAAAGCGTTTAACGGAGAAATTTCTTGTGGGTTGGGTGTCAGGGTGCCCAGATGTGGTCAGCTGGAGCTCCGAAAGCCACATCAAATATTTTTGCTGAGCAACCCCAGAGAGGGGGACCATGCAATGCCTGAGAAACTCACGGAGAGATGTAAGGCACATGTGAAAGTGAGAGAGAACAGGAAACAAGAAAATGAGAATTAGCAAGAAAAGATGTTGCGAGACTGGCATTTGAACAGTCGCTGGGATTGCCCTTCAGTGCTGCTCCCAGAATCCCGTGTGGTGGGAAAGGTGATATGGGTACACTGGTTATGTTTGTCCACTCTTTCTAAGGTGTTTTACACGAAAATGTTTCTCAGGCAGGAAGAGGTTTAGCTACGACACTCAAGTTAAAAGCCTCTTTTAAGAAGGAAAAACACAATGTTAGTGTTATCAAAAATCACCTAGCACATCTAGCAATCTGGTCTAGAGAGATGAGCACCTGGATGAAGTAGAGGGACCCATGTGCCTTTCTATGGTGTCTAAGTCGTCAGAAGTAAGCAGCCTCAAGCTGGAGTGGACAAGAAGAAATGGACAGGGCTCAAGCTCACACAGAGGAATGAAGTATGTGGAAGCCTCTCGCTGCCTTTCACCTCTCTTTGGAGTGAAGGACATTTGTCCATGTGCCCAAGGGGCAACTGCCCTGAATCCTGTACCCAATGGAGCCCACCATCCTTCCTGAGAGGAGCAAACACGGGCTGCCACACCATGTTTACTAACTACAACCTCAAACCAGGGACAGCCTAGTATCCCTGCTCTGAACTGTGAAGATCCCTGTTCAAATGTCACTCTGCCATTTCCTAGCTGAGCCACTTGGGATGACTGGATGTCTCCAAGCCTCCATCAACAGCAGGTAGGGAAAATAGTACCCACGGAGGGAGATCTACAAAGGCTTCTGGCACAAGGTCCTAGCATTGTTATGAAAA